ATATAATAATACCTTCTGGGATCTACGTAAACACCTGTGTACTTTAATTTTTTGCCTCAGTCCTGTTCATTGTATTACCTAACGTTGCGCCTCGTGTTTCGTGTTTCATGGTGCAGGTTTATGTACATGATAAAATAAAGCTATATATCAACTGAAGACACACAGAGCTGAATATTTGTTCATTAATTCCTCCAACGTAAACAAACTATTATTGGCGAATTTCAGCTTTTACATAATCCGTCTAATTGTTTCTGAATGTAGGAAGTTAATTACGAGACAAAACGAGAGGCGAGATCTATAATTTCTGTCCATAGATAACCCTGTTATGTTTTTTGTTGTATATTTTATAGTTATCTGTTAACCACAAAAACGAAAGTCGCAGAAATGTAACAACAATCTGATAGACTGTTGTTACCAACAGGTGTAACAGGTGTCAGTCCCGGTTTGTTTACCAAAGGAATGGTGTATTGTTCAGGTTTGTTTATGTATTTCCGAATCACTGAACTCTAATGGTTTATATATATATATATATATATATATATATATATATATATATATATATATATATATATATATATATATATATATATGTATGTGTGTGTGTGTGTGTGTGTGTGTGTGTGTGTGTGTGTGTGTGTGTGCTCTAGACTAAAGGATCTGGGGACGTTGACACCTCTACTGAGCCTCATCCCTACCCTAACACTGTACAGATGTCACCGCATTAATACCGACACTCAATACTTGTAAGTGAGAAAAAAATCATTAAGATGTCAGTATTGTGTAGGCCATCATTCTACACCATAAAAATTGAAGGGCCAGGGGCCAGACTCCCGGAGATAACTATATTTTTAGTTTAAATATATGGTGATCTACCTTATATAACAACGATCTCCCGGTGAAATGCAAAAACAGAAATTTAAATATTAATAACTAATTAAGAATAAAAACTAGAAAGTAATGAATAACAATGTTGATATATACTATCAAGATTATATAAATTCTCCAGGTGTACAGGTGTGAAAATGAGGTGAGTGTACTGTACTCCCCGCGGTAAATGTGCTTCACAACATCAACAACTTATTCGAGAAAATTGGTGTTATATCCACCTTGTTCAAGCGAGTAATACAAATTCAATAATCTAGAGCCAGTGTCACAGCAAAAGGAGGAACCACTGAAATTAAAAGTGATTGGAAGGCTGAGGGTGAAAGAGATGGAATAAGGTAGAGCTTCAAAAGTCAACGAGCGACTATAGCTGAAAGGCTTATAATAACGACATATATAAATGGGGAAGAAGAAGGAGACGTTGAAGAAGAATGAGAACAGGAAGGACAAAGGAAGGAAAACAGGGAGACCAAAAGAAAGGTTACTAATAACATTATAACGACAACGTCAAAAAGAAACGAAGGTCAAACAAGTGTAATAAAAAAAAGTAATTAAGATGAAATAGTACATAAAAACTATATAAAAACCACTTGTAATCATTTGCCAATAACTTTTTTAAGAGTACATTCACCCGGGGTTAGGTGACGCCCACAGGTGTGTGTGTGTGTGTGTGTGTGTAGGGTGTGTGTGTGTGTGTAATAATAATAATAATAATAATTAACGGTTTATTGAAAAAGTTCTGCAGCCCGAAGGCTGAAAATATACATTGGACATAAATGACTTATTACATACATTGGTAGTTTAACAAAAGCCTTCATTAGAGAAAGGTAAAGGAACATACAGTGAACATACAGATTAATGTAGGATTGTACGTGTTGAACAGCAAATACGTAGTGTAGTAACTCCCTCCCAGATGGTGTTAGGAGGGACCTCACGTGGTGTAGTAATTCCCTCACAGATGGTGTTATGGGGGACCTCACGTGGTGTAATTACCTCACAGATGGTGTTATGAGGGTCCTCACGTGGTGTAGTAATTCCCTCACAGATGGTGTTATTAGGGACCTGACGTGGTGTGGTAATTCCCTCACAGATGGTGTTATGAGGGACCTGACGTGGTGTAGTAATTCCCTCACAGATGGTGTTATGAGGGGGCCTCACGTGGTGTAGTAATTCCTTCACAGATGGTGTTATGAGGGTCCTCACGTGGTGTAGTAATTCCCTCACAGATGGTGTGATGAGGGACTTGACGTGGTGTAGCAATTCCCTCACATATGGTGTTATGAGGGACATGTGGTGTAGTAATTCCCTCACAGATGGTGTTATATGAGTGAGGTTTGGTCCCAGGCCTTCCTATCGTAGACGGATTAACACATCGCTGGTTATCACGGGCCGTTATCACTGGGTACCTGGGACCTCACTGTGTGAAGGTTAACTTGGGTACGACTGTTACTGTTGAGTTGTTCTCACTGACTTAAGCACTGTTCACCTCTGTTTAACACTGGTTCCATTCCTTTCCTAAATGAAATTGTAACTTCTGGCGAGAACTTGTTGATATTCCGGTGGGGAGGAGGGTTCAGGGGAGGGGGTTGGTATGGGCCAACTTAACAGTTGACCTGGCTGCTCCGAGAGGAGCGCCAGGTACGTCTTGACCCTTCGGTGGTCAAGGATGTAGTGTAGTGTAGTGTAGTGTAGTGTAGTGTAGTGTAGTGTAGTGTGTGTGTAGGGTGTGTGTGTGTGTGTAGGGTGTGTGTGTGTGTGTAGGGTGTGTGTGTGTTTGTGTGTGTGTGTGCCATTCCGATAGTTCATATGCACAGAAAGTAGCCGAGTACTAATATTCCCCGCCTCTCTCTCTCTCTCTCTCTCTCTCTCTCTCTCTCTCTCTCCACTGTGTCGTTAAGACAAAGGTACTGGGATCATTGTTAACATTATCCCATGCTATTGCCGGTTAGTCAGGTTACACCATTTAACGTGTGATTACTCCCGATAACACGTGATAGCACCAGAAAATATCACGATAACACCAGATAACCAGCAATAACATCGAATAAGTCGTGACAGGATCAGATAATGTGTTAGTGCTCCAGATAGCACGTATTAGCACCATCCAGCACCGGATAGCACATGATAGCACAAAATAAGTCTGTAAGAGCATTTGATAACCTGATAGCATTAGGCAATTCGTCATATGTTACCTTAAATAACACAGGTTTCTCGAATAAGTTACAGTATATTTATGGACTGTCTGTGTGTGTGTGACGGGGAGTTGTGTGTTTGTAGATACAACATGGACAGAACGAATTTTAGGGGGGGGGTGGATATTATGCTGACACTGGTATCAGGAGGGGCTGGCAACCGTAACATAGTTTGGGGAGGTGTTGTATTGTTTCTCTGGGGTTGATTGGTTTCAAGGACGTGTAAATGGTGGAGGGTTTAATATGCTATTAGGATAAAGTCATTGGATGGAAGGTGTTGCTAAGGTGGTTATTATGTGCTTCTGTTGTGAAGAGTTGTGCTGTGAGGTTTAGGTGGAGACAGTTTGCAGGGATGGTGTGCCGAGTTAGGCGGATGATATGTGTAACCATGATATCGAGGTACTCTTGCACGCTATGGAATTCCTGATTTAGAACTGAAGTGATTAATGTTTATGTATTTGACGCAACTTATTTTCCCTTTGAGGGTTTTGTTTGGGTTTGTCTGGAGTTTATGAATATTGGAGGCAGATGGTGTTGGGGCTTGACATAGTTCACTGTGGATAAACTGTTTGTTGTAGGTGTTTTGAATGTACTGAAAGTGCGTGTGGCTTTGTCGTCTCATTGGGCCCAGTGTGATGCTGCAGATTTTAAGGTTGTTCACAAGAGTATGTTCGTTGTTCGTTAAGTGATGTAATGTGTGGGTGAACAAGGTTGAACAAGAGGACAGAGCTGTCAGGATTATGTCTAGTTGGCAAATATATTTATTGCAATGGTAATTTCTTATCTATTTACATGATAATTTTCGATAAAACGATTTTGATGGTACAATAAAAGCAGGTACTGTATATATAGTAGGTAAAACAAGAAATATTAATTATTAGACAATAGATATTTTTTAAGAGATGATTTAAAGGAAGGGAACGTAGTCTTTGCTCGGATGGGTGGGGGGTAAGTTGTTCCACACCTTCACACCATGATATTTTATGGAGGTCTGGGACTGAGAGGAGCGCATGGGGGGCGGTCTTAGTAGCTCTGGGTACCTGAAGTTGTATCTCTGATTATTCCTGAACTGGAAATAATTATTGTCAAGCAAGTGATTGGTAGATTTGTAAACAAAGAGGGCACAGCAGTGGGTGTTAATACCTTCTAATTTTAACATTTTCAATCTAGCAAATTTTTCGTTTGTGTGATCTGTTTTTTTTTTTTTTTTAAGTAGATCATTGTCCGTACAACTCTCTTTTGTGTAGTAAGCAGGGATTGTGTTTTTGAAGAGCCAGAGGCCCCCCATTGTGTGGATTTACCATATATGTATATATTATGATATCGGTAATACTGATTATATTAACAAAGTAAATGATATCTAAGTAAAAAAATATTACATATATGAGTTAGGATTTACAGTTTATAAACAAATTAAAAACAAATAAGGTCGTTCAAACACACACAAAAAAATTAGCTCAGAATTAATGTCTGCAGTTCCGTTGTACATTTTCTCTACTGACTGTGTAGAGTATCTTCTTAAGGAGTGTTTACATATCTCTAACTCCGTATGTTTTGGAGTCTCTGTTTTCATATCGTAATTTCTTGTTATCTTTTTCCTTTGTATTGAGGCTGTGAAGAGTGGAGTAATAATTTTTGTATGTGTAGGAGGTCGATGAACTTGTAGACTGGGAACATACATCACTGTTGAATGTGTTCCCTGTATGTCGTTTGTGTTTTCTACATGAAATATGAACCCTCGGGGCGGCGATGAAAAATCAAAGGGCAGAGCATTTTATGATCTCGTGCAGCTGTCAAAACACGTGTTGTTTTCGAGCTGTGAACGCGATGAGAATATTTTATTAGAGACTTTATGCAAGTGGTTCATATACCACACAGAACAGTATATAAGTGTGTACATTTTTATATAGTCGTGCGTCTGGCTTACCGCCCCAGCAGCACCCTAATGCTACAACGTCTCCTGTTTGTCTCTGCTGTCGACCAACAATCTCTTACTCGATCGCTGAGGACACATCCCTCGTATGCTGTAGCTGAGGGAAGTTCTCCACACTGTCAGCATCTCTCAGAAGTTGTACATGAGCAGAATTAGCAACATGAGGGCGACGACCTGGCTGGTCGTGCTCAGCGTGTTGGCCTTTTATGGTTCCATCACTGCCAATAGTGAACGACAGGCAAGTACTGTAGTACGGCGTTTGTAGACAATCTTAGAGAGGAAGACTGGCGCCTCTCTCTCTCTCTCCCACTCTCCAGGCGTCATAAAATGTTTTCAGTTACTTTGCCTCTTGTTCTTCTTCACTGTACGAGATTTAAGTCAGCTCGAGATGTATATTAAACTTACCTTTTAACAGTGCTGTGGTCATGTTGAACACCAGTCTTTTATATCTATGTCGTGTACAAGGTTTTAGTAGACCACACAAGAAGCATTTTTTTTTTCGAATGTCAAAGGCTATTTACAAAAAGATAACGAATATAATGCATTAATAAATATTTTCTTTGGCATGGTTTTTTTCCTAATCTGAAATTTTTATAAACTTACGCATTGTATGTAACTCAAGTCTACCGACATATATATCACTTATAATATAGACTAGCTGGGGTATTCAGTGTTGCTCTTTTTTAACGAAGTACATTTAACCAAAATGGCTGCAGTCACCACCCACTAAAAATTGAGGACAGCTCATACTCTACAGTATGTTTCTTTCAACCCCACTAATGCCGAGTCACATAAAGTTCACCTCATGTTTATATACCTGATTTAATGTTAATTTATATTTCTCTTGCACTTACATTATTATTTAAATTGTATTTTATGTTTCTTTCTTTGTTCAGAGGACAAAGGAAAGGTGATTCATACAATATGCAGGTAACTACAAGGACACAATTTGTTACTCCAAATCTAAACACTTGGGCTGATCCCCTTATTCACACGTTCATGAGCATTATCAAGGCTATTTACATAGCTATAACAAATTTCAGATCTGTCTTAAAGAAAAAACACCGAGGCAGTGCATAGCAAACAAACAGAAAAAGGGAGGTTTGTCCCAAATCTCATGTTTGAGTAATTTCATTTTTCAGTGAAACTCAGTTGTCATATTTTTTAGGAAACTATTACATAGATTATATCATTTTATTTCGAAGTAAGAAATTGCTGGTATATTCTGAAAGGTAAAGAAGCCGAGAGGAAAAACTTACCACGCTTTCTAGTTGTTCCAAACAAGAAATAAAATTGACATTCAAAAGTTCATTACAAGACGTACTCAGGAATATTAAATGACAGAAGCGAGCAATTATTATTAACACCACAAATGACGTAATGAGTCACCAGGAACTTTCGGTGCATTATGGTAGAGGAAGTATACTGTGTCACTGAGTTGAACAGAAATTCCGGTGTTTCGTTGTAAAAAGGACGAAGGTTTTGCCAGTGGGTGAATTAACCAGAAGTGTACGGCGGTTCATTGTGTTGCAGGAGGCTGAGAGAGAGGTGAATGGTGGCAAGGCATGTAAGGCAGCTGGAGGAAAGTGTGTGTCGAGTATCACTGCCTGTTATTCCCCGCTCCCTAACCACGACGACTGTCCAAGCAGTACAAGGAAATGTTGTGGGCGGACGGGTGAGTACATAGTTGTCGGGCATGACAGCCCCACAAACCTGTCCTGTTAAGATTCAGACTGACCTGTACGGCACTGTCTCAAATACACACACACACACACACCTGTCCTAATCACAATACCCAAAGTTTCTCTTGAAAAAAATTAATATCAAAGCACATTTTTCCCCCCAAGGTCCTCGGTGAACGACCAATAAAAGAAAACTTTATTATTTGTGGGAATGTTTAATTGTCGACTCATGAGATATATATAATGATGTAGTATATACCCAGCTGGTATACAATATAGAGAGGAATACATATTAATATAAAAACTTTGGTTCTTTATTCTCACAGTGGGGGGATCGCAGAAATCGACGAAGCAACTGGGGAAGAAGGGGAAAGCCAAGAAGGAACGTCCTGACACAGATGGCGGAGATAAAGAGAAGAATAACAAGAAAAAACGTAGGAAAATGGACAAGAAAAAACGTAGGAAAATAGACAAGAAAAAACGTAGGAAAATAGACAAGAAAAATCATCGTGAAGGAAATGACATAGAGAAAAAGGTCAAGGAAACGTCGAAGAGTAAACAGACAGGTAGAAATAATAAAAAGAATGAAAACTCTGAAACAATCGAAATTAAACGACACAGGAAACAAAACAAAAAGAAGAGCAAGGCAATAGATAAGAATGAACGTAGAAGAGAAGACAAAAAGAAAAAGATAAAAATATTTGGAAAGAAGGAAAGTTCCAGAGGAGAAGGCAAAAATATAAAGGTCAAGGCAACAGGGAAGAAACAAAGCTACAGACAACTAAAAAAAAAGATGGTGATCAAAGGAATAACCAAGACTGAAGAACAAGAGAACAATAAAAGAAAGAAGATAAATGGAAGAGAAAAGAAGAAAGACTCTAAAACTAAACAAGAAAATCAAGAGAAGAGAAAAATGACTCTCACCAAGACGAAGAAGAAAAAGGAGAAGAAGAAGGAAGGAGGGGTGCAAGGTAAGTGATAACTCATTTTTTGCTCGTACAGTCGCCTGCACTTACACCTGCTACAGTGCTGGTATCTTTTGTGAGATGTGACAACTCTGTGGAATACTTATCTAGTATCACTAGTCTGGTTACTATTGCGAGATTCCTTAGGGCCATTCCGGTAGTTTTAATACGATGTAAACAAACCCAGAGCCGCCACATCTCACAAAACGCTCCAGCCACTGTACCAGGTGTAAGTGCAGGCGACTTAAACATAAAATAAGGTATCAACAAACCCCTTCTTAACAGACGTCGACCACCAGACATTGAAATCAAATTTTGTACCAGCAGGTTGGATGTTGTTTGTCACACCTGTAAACAAACTATTGGTTGATAGGTGTCTTGTTTACTTCCAGGTATTGTGTGATATGACTTGTTGACACCTGGAGTATTGTTTTTTAACTTACTGATACCTGGAGCACAGTACTGTCCTTTTAACTTGCTGACACATGGAGTACTGTCGTTCTTAACTTGCTGACACATGGAGTACTGTCGCTCTTAACTTGCTGACACATGGAGTACTGTCGTTCTTAACTTGCTGACACATGGAGTACTGTCGTTCTTAACTTGCTGACACATGGAGTACTGTCGTTCTTAACTTGCTGACACATGGAGTACTGTCGTTCTTAACTTGCTGACACATGGAGTACTGTCGTTCTTACTTACTGACACTTGGAGTACTGTCCTTTTAACTTGCTGACCCCTGGAGTACTGTCGTTCTTAATTTACTGACACAGTCCACAGGCTATGAACTGGGAGAGAGAGACTGAAGAACGTGATAATGATCCCACATAGTAGGTTTACGTGCATAAATTTGGTAATTAGAGATAGGGAACGTGAAGCAAAGATCCCAGACACACACACTCTCTCTCTCTCTATTCATCTATTTACCTCTTTTGTATATATCTATTTTCCAGCGTCGATAAAGAACAGTGGACAGCGCTCTAAAGACAAGGGCAAAATGTATGGAGAAAAACCTTCAAGGAGTGAGTACAGTACCGCCTTCCTGTTACGTACCAATGTTCAGGTGCCTTAAGTTTCTATACGCCGTGTGTGTGTGTGTGTGTGTGTGTGTGTGTGTGTGTGTGTGTGTGTACAATGTTATAATGAAGACTGAAAAAAATCATATGTAACTCTCCGCAAATGTGTAATTTTTACACACACACACTTAATCATTCTGTTCCTCCATCAGAATGTAAACAAAAGAAAAAGTGCAAAAAAGCTGGAGGTTCTTGCAAAGGGTCGTGCTCGAAAAGGGAGACGGAGATGGTGAAGGGTTGTAAAGGCAAACGTTGCAAGTGTTGTGTCCCAGAAGGTAGAGGTAAGGTCACACTTGTTGTTTACCTGCGTGTATTATTAGTATCCTCAGTAACTGTATCCTTCAGTAAACAGTTTCTTTCTATATAATTGAAAGAAAAGTTTATATGACAGTCAACAGTCTTATACTTTAAGTTACCATTCTCGTTGTTAAACCCTGAAATTAACACTTAAATTAACATAGGTGGTGAATAAAGTAGAGTTGGATTTATTATTCACTGAAAATGTAAAAGATGATAATTTCTGGAGGATGAGGAACGTGAGCTAATCAAGGGATGTCATGGACCCAAATGCTGGTGTTGTGTTCCGCTCAGTAAGTAAACCTCACGTCTGAAGTGTTTTACTATACAGACCTACATAGTTAGAGCTTACTATACCATCCACAACTTAAACCATGTACCCTTGAAGTAAACCTCAAACACCGCGTATGAAAGACTGTTTGCCGAAGCTTGAAGGACCGCGCGATGTTTCTTTTATGATGTAAGGCTATAGTCGGTACTGAAAACTATCTGTTAAAACTCCTCTGTTTTACAAGGTAGACTCATCCCTTAGACCGTGATAGCAGCCGCTCTTATAGTGTCGTTTATGATTGGACTGCAGTAAATAACATATGGTTGTAGTAACGCTAACGTTCACTCCCCTACAGAGTGTAAAATAAAAAAAAAATGCAAGAAACGTGGTGGTACCTGCAAGACTAATGAGTGTTCTGACGGTGAACGTGAGATAAACAAAGGTTGTGGGGGCAAAGGCTGCTGGTGCTGCGTTCCTCCCAAGCAAGGTGAGTGTACAGTACCACGTCTGTTTATTGTATCCTGAGAGATATGCTGAGAAGTTTACTTAAATATTTACACATGTTTTATTCTGGCAACCACATTTTTTTAGAGTTACCATCTTCCTAAATATTCACTGCTATAATTTTGTCTCCTAATTGGGGTTATGACAGCTTATATAGTTAAGACAGAATTCCAGTATGAGTTTTGTGTTATTTTAGAACGTTCATTTTTGTGCTTTAGCGTAAGTCAAACTCTTAACTGCGTTCTTACGTCTCTGGTTACCAGGAATTTTCACCAACTAACAGTATTGAGTCACAGAGTTGAATGAAATCTCAAATTTAGCAATGCATAAACGTTGATCGTCCTGTTGATGGGATACGAATGAAGATCAATTATGTTCCTGTATGCACTAAAATACATTACGTATTTACCTTACTTTAAATGTACACGTATATGCTCTAAGCTTGGAATGTTAACTTAAGTTCAATAATGACACTCAAACTTCATTTGATTTTATAATTTGCGATAAATCATAGCAAAAACATTGATGTAAAGTTTGTTGTGTTGACATTTTGTTTTAGCGGAGTGATACAGTTGTAATAAGGCAAATAATATATTTATAGGTTGTCAGTCCAAGAAGAAATGCACGCAAAATAATGGCGTCTGCCAGACTAGCCAGTGTTCATACGGTGAACGTGAGATCCCCCGAGGCTGTCGCGGTCCCAACTGCTGGTGCTGTGCCCCACCCGAGGACCGTGAGTATTGCCACTAGAGAGGGGTAAAAGTGCTGTTTTTGAAAGCTATTTAAGTTTGCATTTAACAAGTGTATGTTGGTTCCAAGTGTTTTCCATTTGGTCGTTTTAGAATTGTATTTATGTGATGATAACATTATTCACACGACTTTTAATGTCACCTGTAGACACTGATGCATTGTTCTGTCCAAGGCTGCTTCGGATTTACGAGTCTGAATCTTCGGGCTCGTGGAGCAGGAGAAGAGGCGACAGGACATTTGCTGGCGACTGTACACCAGTATATAGTGATAGATACAGCGGTATAATTTGGCATATTTCAATCTACAGTATAATAGTTTACAATAGCATGCAGTAAGCTATGGGTTGTGTAGAATACAACAGGGAATAATTGAATAGGTTATGTTGTAAAAGAAACAGTAGCGTGCATGTGTCACTGACAGCGTTGTCACTGCTGGTGACTTAAGTTCACTGTCGTATTCAGGATAAACAAAAGTTCCTTGACGGGTAACTACATAAGACCTACAGTAGATCTCAGCAGAGAACTTGTAGGCAATGCGAGATATTCTTGAGAACGTCGTGAATGAGTAAATGTGTTGGAAGTGTTGAGTGGCTTGTGCAGTCTGATCCACTGACCTGTGTCTGGCAAGAGAGTTCCTCATGACGGTGTAGAGACAACGCAAATAAGTGGAGAATGGCTGAATATACGTAAATCTTCAGTCTTGATCACCTCCTGGACGTCTCATGATGTACAAATATGTTTCAACAGAGTGCACTGCTCTGTCGTCGTGCGACCAAGGCCATGCAGTGTGCAGATCCTCGTGCCAGAACGAGGAACGTGAGGTGCCCGGAGGCTGCCACGGGTCCAGCTGCAAATGTTGTACCCGGCGCCCACCTACCTGTCCTGCCACAGCTGACTGTCCCGGCATCTGTGTAGAGAAACAAAACTGTATCAAACCCCTGACGTATTACTACTGTTCAGGTTATGATTGTACCTGTTGCCAGGGTAAGTAGTCATGGGATGTGTTGGGTATTTAATCTCAACATAACCTTTATAATATATATATATATATATATATATATATATATATATATATATATATATATATATATATATATATATATATATATATATATATATATAAATCACAATCCAGACATCTTCAGAGGCAACTGGATTTCATGGACAGAGAGAGGCTTAAATATACAGGGTGACCTTAAAAACATGAGGTCAGGTCATAATGATGTCATCCACTAATCCCCACACCAACACACACGTAGAGGAGCTTAAGAGAAGGGGGGTGACGTGACTAGTCAGGTCAGGTCAAAAATAAGGGACCCACTAAATAACTATCATACATCTAGATCAAAGGTTTTCAAAGCATTTTTAACCTTGGGCCACTGACAAATAAATTTATGTAACATATTATCAGTTTTGAACTGACCATCACTAAGGTTTATTGATTTTAATTCCTTAATCAAACTAGCTTCAACCAGAAGTCTTTCTGTGACACAAGATGATTTAAATACTTCTAAGCCTTTTTCATGTTAGGAATAATAATCATCCCATTGCTTGGGAAAAAGCTTAGAAGTATTTGGTGCGCTTGATCCATGATATATGCTGATAACCACATGGGAAAAAAGAAAACACGAGGTTCCCAAGCGCTTTTCTGTAATTCACTCTTGAGGGGTGAGTACAGACTAAGGAGTAGTTACTAACAGGGCTAATATATACAGTAAAGGAGAGCGAAATCAAGTCCCTAGCGACAGTAGGTTTCCACCATATTCAAGCCCTTATGTTCAAGGATGCCTACCTTTGATTGGCGCTCCGATTTGTCAATACAGGTATACAGTACACTGAACAGTGTATGTTATGCAGGGATGTTTGCATGAATCCTAGGAAGGGTCAAGGTGAGGTAACAGGATGTGATGATATTTAATCAATTAGTTTAAGGAGTGGTGGAGGCTAGAGAACTGGTCTTAGAAGAGAGAGCGATGACTCACACAAGGAATCGCTCTCACATCAACTGCAGAAAAAGAAAAGAAACAAGCAGGCTAAAGGTGGAGAGGCCAGTATTAAAGATTAAGTTTTTTTAAGAGTTCAGAAGGAACTAGTACTGGTTTTAGGGAAAGTTACCTTGTCAAGATGTCTCTCAGGTTACGAAGAGGAAAGAGACACACCAAGATTGGAGTGAAAGATGACAGTTCTGTTTGTTTGTTTTTTGTTTTTATAAGTAATAGATTTTTGTGTTGCTGTGTGCAGTAGTTAGAAATAAAGTTATTTTATGTTTACTCCGTCGAGAAATAGACTGTCACATAGAGTCAGCTTGATCCACATTCCTCTGGATTAGGCTGTGCGGAGTGAACCGAAGGCTGCAGTTTTCTAGTCCTCTGTAGGTGTAAAGATGTGGGCTGAGGTGAGGATTTGTCTTCACTGGATTTCTAAATCAGACCCAGGTGAGCTCAGGATTTAGGTTAAGAAAAAACCAGATTTCTTCGAACACCAGAACATAGATGAATGGGTGGATGAGCGTTTGTAACCATAAGAGATTTTTACATTTCAGAAGATGGAGTAGTAACCCCAGGGACTACTGCCACTACAATAACTCCTACCGGCCCCACTACAATGACTCCTACCGGCCCCACTACAATGACTCCTACCGGCCCCACTACAATGACTCCTACCGGCCCCGCTACAATGACTCCTACCGGCCCCACTACAATGACTCCTACCGGCCCCACTACAATAACTCCTACCGGCCCCGCTACAATGACTCCTACCGGCCCCACTACAATAACTCACCGCCCCACTACAATGACTCAACCCTTACCGGCCCCACTACAATGACTCCTACCGGCCCCACTACAATGACTCCTACCGGTCCCGCTACAACAACTCCTACCGGCCCCGCTACAACAACTCCTACCGGCCCCACTCCAACAACTACCACCTCCACTACTTCTACGACAACAACTACCGGTACTACTACAACAACAACCACCGCTACTACTACTACAACAACAACTACAGCTACTACTACAACAACAACCACCGCTACTACTACTACAACAACAACTACCGCTACTACTACAACAACAACTACCACCGCCACTACTTCTACAACAACAACTACCACCACAACTACATCTCCAACAACTACTACCACCACCACCACTCCAACTACTACCACCACCACTACAACAACAACTACTACCACCACCACTACAACAACAACAACTACTACCACCACCACTACAACAACAACTACTAACAACTACTACCACCACCACTACAACAACAACAACTACTACCACCACCACTACAACAACAACAACAACTACACACTACTACTACCACCACCACTACAACAACAACTACTACACCACCACTCATAGCAACAACAACAACAACTACTACCACCACTACAACAACAACAACTACTACCACCACCACTACAACAACAACAACACTACTGCAGCTACTACCACCACTACAACAACAACAACTACTACCACCACCACCACTACAACAACAACAACTACTACCACCACCACTACAACAACAACTACTACTTCCACTACCACTACAACAACAACTACCACTGGCCCCACTACATCAACTACCACCACCACCACTACTACTTCTACATCAACAACTACCACCACTACAACAACAACTACTACTACCACCACCACTTCAACAACAACTACTACTACCACCACCACTACAACAACAACTACCACTGTTTACTACATCGCTACTACCACCACCACTGCTAGCTACCATCAACAACTACCACCACTACAACAACTACTACTACCACCACCACTACAACAACAACTACAACACCACAACAACAACAATCCCACCACAACAACAACCTCCACCACCTCAACAACTACCACCACCACCTCAACAAAACCTACCACCACCCACAGCACCAAGCACCACAACAACCTCCACCACCTCAACAACTACCACCACCACCACCAACAACCACCACCAGCACTACAACAACAACTACTCCCCACCTCAACAACTCCACCACCACCTCAACAACCACCACCAGCACTCTACTCAACTTCTCCACCACCTCAACAACTACCACCACCACCTCAACAACCACCACCAGCACTACAACAACAACTACCTCCACCACCTCAACAACTACCACCACCACCTCAACAACTACCAGCACCACCTCAACAACTACCACCAGCACCACACAACAACGACAACCTCCCACCACAACAACTACCAGCTACCACAACAACACCACCAGCACCACCTCAACAACTACCAGCACCACAACAACAACAGCCTCCACCACCACCTCAACAACTACCACCAGCACCACAACAACAACGACAACCTCCACCACAACAACTACCAGCACCACATCAACAACTACCACCAGCACCACCTCAACAACTACCACCAGCACCACCTCAACAACTACCACCAGCACCACAACAACAACAACCTCCACCACCACCTCAGCAACAACTACCAGCACCACCTCAACAACTACCACCAGCACCACAACAACAACAACCTCCACCACCTCAACAACAACTACCAGCACCACCTCAACAACAACTACCAGCACCACCTCAACAACTACCACCAGCACCACAACAACAACAACCTCCACCACCACCTCCAACAGCTACCACCAGCACCACCTCAACAACTACCACCAGCACCACCTCCCAAACTACCACCAGCTCCACAACAATGTAATGAGACAAAATCTCACATGAAAAGATTACATATAAATAGAATATTATAGCGAGAGGAGTATAAAGAGAGGAAGACTTTGGTAGCGTGGCCGTGATAGTTATTTACTCTTATCGTACACTGGTCGTGTCTTACACGTCAATACACATCTATCACGTTCTTAAAGGCGACTTCTTAAACACTGTTTCGTTACAACTCTTTATTAATCACGAACATGACATGGACACATTAATAACACCTTCTATTGAAGTTACTAGGACATTATATTTACGTTACTAGGACATCATATTACGTTACTAGACACTCTGATTCTCGGACACGAACATGAAATGAATACACTTCCCACGTAGGTAACTCATCCCATGGAAAGCTCTGACAAACACTCACGTGACCTAGGGGAGGCCTAGCAGGTAGTCCTGGGTTGTCTCTATGGGAGACTGCTTAGCTGGGCGCCGGAGGGAAGTCTCGGTCCTGACCGGAGGCGACTTGCCTCCGGCCCTTGACTTCTCTCGAGCAGGCCTGGTGGTGTAGTAGCTGGCCACCTTGTTACAAGACAACTCTCTCTCTGCGAATTCACCGAGGGAGGACTAGCACGTCCTATATATTGGGAGGCGAAGGGTCTCCTTACATTTGACCTCGCAAATGTGAGGTCAGGTCTGGACTTTTCAGAACTATCTGGGAAAGTCATCAGGTGGGGCCGTGTGTATATTGGGAGAGCAACGGTGAGAGTTCCCCTACACTTGACCTCCCAAACGTCGGGTCAGACTGGAGTTTCTGAGATGTAAGGAGAAGTCATCAGGTGGGGCCGTGTGACACGAGAGGCCCTGGTTGATTTGTGGCCCCTTGGGTTGGGCTCCAAGGGTTACATTTGACCTGGCTAATTGTGAGGTCAGGTCCGGCCTTTGTTCAGAGAGTAGGTTATTGTATATTGGAAGAGAGTCGGCTGGTGCCTTCTTACATGTTTTGTTGGGGCCACATGTCACATGGGAGGGGAGCTAGGCTGATTTACAATCCCGGTCAACCGCAGAGTTACCCTATACTTTTGACCTCGGCTAATGTCGGGTCAAGTCTGGCTTTCCTCGCGATGTAAGCTGTGGTCTGACAACCCCTCACTACAACAACAACAACCTCCACCACCACCTCAACAACAACTACCAGCACCACCTCAACAACTACCACCAGCACCACAACAACAACAACCTCCACCACCACCTCAACAACTACCACCAGCACCACCTCAACAACTACCACCAGCACCACCTCAACAACTACCACCAGCTCCACAACAACAACAACCTCCACCACAACTACCACCAGCACCACCTCAACAACTACCACCAGCACCACAACACTTACTAATAGGTAGTGATGTAATATTCACTGTGTATGTGTGACACAAACGGTATGTGACACTGGCGAGTTAAAAGGTTTGTTCTTTCAGCTGTTATTGCAGTTTGTTTGCCTTTTGTAACTCCCTACAGTAGTACAGCAGGACAAAGAAACGAGTACGTTAGGGAAAAAGATAAGAAAATACAGCGTCTGTCTATACAGTATGATACTAAACGGTTAACATATACAGATTGTGAGTAAAATTAGAACTAAGTAAATAAATGAATAAATATGTTCAAGATAAATTGTGATAGAAAAAACTACCATAAATAATAATGTGTTCTCTTGTACTCTGTTTTGTTTTGTTTGTGACTTGTTTCTCATTGGTCAGCAGATCAGCCAATCAGAAGTTATAATTTTTCCTGTGGATGCAATTAAATATTTGGGTGGACTTGAGGATTATACAATATTCTTATGAGTGTCCATTAGTTTCCGGCTGTTCATCTTCTTTTTTTCCTTTGTGTGTAAACATTTTCAGTTAACAATCACCGTACATGAGTGTTTGGTGTATTTATAATCAGTTTTATGTTTAATAAAGAACATCACATCAATGAGTTTTAATTCATCCATACAGAATCTTCGTAATTTTAAATATTTTTTTTATTTCGACGTTTCATTGGTCAGGGAGATTAGATTCGAACCCAATGAACTCGCTACTTATTTGTTTTTGAATGATTCCCAGTGTCAAGTGATCCTCGTTGGTTTGAGTTTTGTTGAATAGTTTAGTTTTTTTTTTAATTAGTTTACACGTGCGGTGTGAAGAATGGGGGATCTTACACGAGCTAGAATCTAGGTTTTCAAAAGTTAGTATGATAAGCGTTCCTCGTAACTGAAGATATAAGGATATACCAAGCTTGTTTACTTAAGCTAAAGCACAAAACAAATCGTGGAATAATAACAAAAATGATAACGAGACCATATTTCAGCTGGATAAGGTCACTTGGCATTAAACAGAACTTATAATTATTAGACATCTTCTAACACCATCGTCTCTCCTTACTAGTAAACGTATCTTGTGTAATGTTTATATAATTTTTTCTGTGATTTTTGCTTGTTTGTGTGTTTAGCTTAAATCAGCCAGTTAGGTGTATTCTAACATCTTCACTTACGTCATTTACAAGGAACTTCTCTCAGCTGTTGTTACTGTCAACATAACTTCCATCAGCTGTTAGTAATTGTTCATAAAACTTCCCTCAACTACTGTCTCTGGTAAGACGAGTTCTCGGCGAGTGTTCTTCATCACAGACAGACATAAGGGTTCAACTCTCCGGCATGTCGTTGGCAAACTAATATCTTCATGTTTCTGAATATTTCTATTAGATTGCCTGAAAAAAGATAGAAAAGCTTATGCCATATCGCAGGCGTTGTTAGTGGTCGTAGTTGTTGTCGTATTTGTCGCAGTTGTTTTTGTTGTTACACTCGTTGTAGTACTAGTCGTTGCCGCTGACATCATTGTCGTCGTGGTTGACTTTGACACATTGTTCAAGTTTTGTGTGTTATAAATCATTCATATATTTCAGGACGCTTCACCCAATATAATACTGTATTGTAAATTAGTATGTTTGAGAGTTGCTAAAATCTAACCAGAATAACTATTCAAATAATTATCCCCGACTAGACACCAAAGTGTCTACCTAAATGATCTTTGGTGGCAACACCTCCTCTGAGCAAGCTCCTCGCTGACCAGCTCTCATTCTACCCTAAGTTCCTGAACACGCAACACCTCCTCTGAGCAAGCTCCTCGCTGACCAGCTCTCATTCTACCCTAAGTTCCTGAACACGCTACACCTCCTCTGAGCAAGCTCCTCGCTGACCAGCTCTCATTCTACCCTACGTTCCTGAACACGCAACATCTCCTCTAACGAAGCTCCAGCACGCTACTCACCCAACGTGTCTTCTGAGCAAGCTTCTCACCACACGGCATCTCCAGCACCAGACTGTTTTGTATATAATATATTTTATATAAGAAAACCACAACCAAGAGTTTCCATCCATCCCATCCTGAGTGCGAGACAACATAATATAACGAAACCCTACAAATGGTGACCCCCGGAAGAACGCACTCATACAGGATGGAGGAGGAACGGATCACTCTCCCAGTTTTCAATCACAACATTGAAGACTGGCTTATCCACATTGAGGCAGCTCTCATCGGCTCTACAGCTACAGACAAACAGAAATACGTCGCCCTGATCTGTTCCCTGCCCACAGAAGTCGCCATACAAGCTGCAGAAGTCATCACCAACCTTCCAGCTGACAACAAATTCGCCGCTCTATGAGATGCTCTCAAGAGGCGTTACCAGCGGCCTCACACCAGTCTCCTGCGAGACCTATCCGGCTTCTCCCTCGGCAACTCAACGCCTGCACGTCTTTGGGACGAGACGCGAAGACTGAACTCCCACCACACAGACAGGCTTCCTGACACTATCCTGCGCCAGCTTCACACTCAGAAGCTCCCTGCAGAAATTCGTCTCGTCCTCTCGGCATTGGACTACTCTACTACCTCGGTGACCTAAGCAGCCACGGCAGACAGAGTATTCCACGAATACACTGCTGTGCGCCATGCTGCCGCAAACAACTCCGTGGTCACACCTTCACTTAGCCCCGGTTTCGTCACTCTGATCAACGCTCCTCAGAGAAGTAGTATTCCACCAGACAAGCAAGACATGAGGCTCCTGCTACAGTCTCTACACCGCAGAATGGACACCCTCGAGCAACTCTGCTCCTCCATGCCTGCTGCTTTTCCTGCTCCTGCCCACGCACTGTCTCCTACCGACCCCAACATCCCCGCCCTGCCCCTGACCCCGCCGCCAGCCCCCAGCACAGTGTACCTACCTTCTGTTGGTACCATCAACGTTTTGGTAATCAAGTACAAAAATAGTCAGTAACATATGACGGATTATAAAGCTAAAGCACAAGTTTCTACTGTACATACTTAACTTAATTAACTCTTACGTAATATACCCAGTCAAAATTAACTTCTAGACTCACAGGCAAGGGTTATAGGGGAAGAATATTGAATTCCTCTAAAGCCTATTGCCGTATTTAATTCGCGGCCTCCGATTGATGCGCCATCTATGGAGGGTGAACACCAAAAAGAACGTTTTGATTTTATATGTATAACTATTTAATATGTGCGGCATCATAGAAAATGGTTGCAAATAGTGAGTGACTAATTTATTTTATTGTTTTTGCATTGATCGTGCGATATCAATGAAAACAGCGAACAACAAGTAGCACAAAAGAGTATAGACAATGCCTCAGTCTTCTTCCCAAATGTAAACAAACATCCGACACGCAACAAACGACTCAGTCTGATCAGCGCCATCTACAATTAGTGCAACATACTCCAAGGCATCTACACCGATACTGCGGGAGTAATAGTTCTTTCCTCTATTTCTCTATAATTCTTGCACAGTTCAGTACTTGTGTTGAAGACTTAGAGTCACTTTGTGCACAAATAAACATCATGAGGTACAACATTGCAAACGAGGCTGGTCGTTTTCATCGCGGAAGTTGGGCAACAAAATATAATTATCATGTCATCACAGGTGCGTTTGTTTGCACGGGATGTTGACCTGGAAACAGAGGGGGTGGAACCATGGAGGGAGGAGGACAGTCACGGACATACAACTTCCCACATTCTCGTCTGCTTCACTTGCTAGTAATTTCATATGTGACAGGTAAGTTAATTCATCTTCTGTACATTTATTAATTTGAGCACATTTCAAGAAATTTATGTTATTAAAAGTAAACTGTTAAATTTAAAGGTATGACCGGGATTGTGGATACTTTTTTCCACGGCAATATTACGACGTTTGTTTTGGTGCATTGGTGAAGTAGACCAGAACTAACCTAACATTTAACCTTTCGATTTCTTATGACAATGTTGGTTAGATTTGGTATGGTTGGTTCACGTCTGTTTTATATATAAATGGTTTTAACACTCATTTTTCCTCTTGTTCCTTCACTTAATTTACAGTATACATCAACACAAATGTATCAGTGTAGTTACGTTGCAAAAATTTCAATATATAAATGTGGGGTTATTCTTAATTTAGTCACGTAAAATCACTTGATATCGACGTGAGCTGCTTCAGGCGACAGATTTGGTTTTGTATGTGCCGTGGTGTAACAGTTAAAAAGCGGTCCGACTAATTACCCAAATGTACCCAAATGTAGCCGCAATGAAGTCAAATAATGGTCCTACATGAAAAAATCGGACTGCTAATCACTTCTCGACTAGTATTTAGTGTCAGAAAGTCACAAAAAATTGGAAAACTTACTTTAATCTGAGTTGTGTTAGGTTAGGTTAGGTTAGATTAGATTAGATTAGATTAGATTAGATTAGATTAGATTCGATTCGGTTAGGTTAGGTACATGCACTTGATCTATTAACTCAGATTAAATTAAGTTTACCAATTTTTTTTTTACTGCGTGATACCAAATACTAGTCGAGGTTAGGTTAGGTTAGGTACATGCACTCGATCTATTAACTCAGATTAAATTAAGTTTACCAATTTTTTGTGACTGTGACACCAAATACTAGTCGAGAAGTGATTGGCAGTCCGATTCATTCATCTAGGACCATTATTTGACTTCATTCCGGCTATATTGGGTACATTTGGGTAATTAGTCGGACCCGTTAAAAAGCACATGACATAGTTATATACGGTATATAATATACTTCCTTTTTGTTGTTGTTTTTGCTATAGTATATATAATTGCGTTGTAGTTGTTGGACAGATCACTGTACTGTTATTTGTAATTGTTGTTGAGTATAGCACTATTGCCTATTGGTATTGTTATTCCTGTTGTTGTTGGATACATTACTGTGTTGTGTTAGAGCCCTACGATAATGATGGTGTTTTTGTTTTAGGATAGATCACTTTCCTTGTTGTTGTTGTTGTTCAATAGATCACTGTGATAGTGTTGTTAATGTTTTTGTCTTATCGTTATTCAATTGATCGTCGTGTTATTGTCGTTGTTGTAGAATAAATAACCGTGTTGTAGAGTATATCATTTTATTGTTTTTGTTATATAGATCACTAATTGGTATATCAACAACCCAGGACTGTAGACATACATCATGAACTCATATTAAGTGATTCATGGCTGCTTCAGTAACTCATCAGATGCATCAATATTGTTAGTGACTGTGTTGTATGTATTGTATAGTTTTATGTGTATTGGTGGAATTACAATAAAAACGAATGTTAAAAGACTCGTTTAAGAATATCAGAATGTATTATAATGTTCTATATATTTTACATGTATCTTCTTTCACATTTTCAAGGATGCATGGAGGCTTTCAACTAGGTTTTGCCAACACGTTTGCCCACCCTGGGACTCTTCGTGGCAACCAACAAGATCTTGCGTGACCAATCCACAGTCTCGCCAGTACACGTACTGTATGTCGACTACGGTGAGTACTCGTGTACCAGCTTCAAAGTTCTCAATTTATTTCCTTGTGTATGAAGAAAACTATGCATGTGCCTGTATATATCTCCCGGTAAAATGCAAATTTTAATGCATAACTCGCAGACGTTCGCACTATACCAGTAGAAGTTACCGTGTCACTGGACATTTTATCAAGGTGTAGGAGTTTGTGGGGTTCAAGATGTTTGGTTCGCACTCAGGATGGAATGGAGAAAGGAAACTCACAATGTGCTCTCTATATACATGTTGTATTGGATGTACAATGCAGCTTGGTGCTGGGAAGGCAGCATGGTTACAGGCGTGATGTAGAGAGCGCTGCTGGTGAGGACGCTCAGAGAAGGACAGCTTGTGGGTCGCCATGCTCGCCAGCGGGAGAGAGGACCGCCAGGCAGACGGAGGTGCGAGGGCCGCCAGGCAGGCGGAGGAGCGAGGGCCGCCAGGCAGCGGCGGAGGAGCGAGGGCCGCCAGGCAGCGGCGGAGGAGGAGGAGGTGTTGCTGGCTGCGGCTGTAGGTAGAAAGAGGCAGATCACCACGAGGTCAGGTCTTAAATAGCGGGGGTAGGCGTGGCTTAGCAGTTGACCCCCGCTCCGTGATGTATGGCGGCGCTGGTTGACCTAGACCAGGAGGCATACACTGGGGAATTGGTGGGGTCGGCTAGGCAGCGACAAACAGCGTTTGTAGGGGAGAATTCCACTACAAGTTCTTTCACGGGGGTCTGTCGCTGTGTGAGTGAAGGATATGAGCCTCAAAATGGCCGCCATTGTATGTTGTGGCCCTCAGGTCAGCTCGCTCATATGGACCAGGGGACCCAACAAGGCAAAATCACCATCTCACGAATTATATCCTCAGACCATTTCCTTCATTCTTCTCACTAGAATATTTTGGAATCTGAACGAAAAGTAAAATGAAGCTCAGATTACACATTAATAATTATGATTGTCTTGGACTTTATCAAATCAGATTGTTTAATAGTTATGAAGTCAGAAAAATAAGATAGGTGGTTAAGATGTTGGGGAATATTATGTCATAGTCTCACATGTGGATGACTCGTCGACACAGAGTTGTTCTCCCTGCTGATCCTCCACCTATTACTACTAGTCTTGAGTTCAGTGTTCGAATAGTGTGAGGCAAATTTCTCGTATATTAACTTCTTGAGCACGGTGCAACCCTTAATGACATTGAATTAGTCCACGGAGTAAAATATCTACACTTCTTAAATACAAACTGCCTAATATACCCCACCTTTTTCCTTTCTGCAAGAGGGATTAAACTCCCTACCTTCGAATCCTTTTGTTATCTATTGTTCCTTGGATTTCAATCCTTGTTCATTATCGTTTTCCTGTGTGTTTATTTTTACCTCTTATCTATAATTCTCACTAAGCAGCAAGTAAAAGCTCCTGACAACAACGATATACATTGGAAGCTAATACAGAGAGAGATTGTTTGGTACGCAATAAAACCCAACGCTCCATAGATTATAGATATCTGTAACCTCTCCTTTCAAATATCTATAATTTATACGATTGGAATCTTCTATACGAACTCTAAATACTGCATGCCACTTGTCATACAGTAGGTATAATACCCTAAATGGAAAGAAATATGAACGTATCATTAAGAAACTGTCAGGAACAATATACGTACCTTGGTTTTATCGGGTTCATTCCAAGGTTGTACTTTATTGGTGCCAAATATCATAAAGACGGTGCAGCAGATAAAGTTGATCACTGCGCTTATGATGAAGACGCTCCTCCAAGCGGTTAAAGTTTGCTGGGGTGAAGGTACAGGGTGATAATTTAGTCTTAGTTTATAAAGCTGAATAAGACGGTTTAGGTACCTAAGTTTATTTTGAATTTTAAACAATGTCCCTAAGTTAATTTTAAATGTTAAGTAGTATTTTAAGTTCATTTTAAGGTTAATTAATACCTGGGTTAATTTTAAAGGTTAATTAATGTTCCTAAGTTAAATTTCAAGATTATTTAATATCCTTGAATAGTACAGCTTGAAAGGCGTGTAATGGTGGACCGCAAGCCTCAACATTACTCCTCACAGTAATCTCGAACACGGTATGTCTTCTCAGGACCGCTTGTAATTCCTCTGGCTAATTGTCCCGTCGTATCTGTGGTGTGTGTGTTTGTGTGTCTATGTGGGGGGGCAGCTTCCATTTCTGAGCTTCAGTATGCAGACGACCTCACCCTTGTTGCTTACACTGAACGCGACCTAGAGGAGATCCTGAACACCTACCCAGATGCGTATGCCCACTTTGGCCTTGAGGTGAATGTACGCAAGACTCCGATTCTCTTTCAGCCTGCCCCGGTTCAGCCACACTACCATCCATCCAGCTTAATGGTACTACCCTCACTTTTGTTACCCATTTTCGGTATCTCGGCTCCCACCTGTCCACCACCGTGGATATTGATGAAGAGATTCAGTATCGGATCCGAAGTGCATCTCAAGCCTTTGGCAGACTCCGAAACCGTGTCTTCTGCTGTAGGGAGCTGAAATTATCTACAAAGTTACGTATATCGAGCAGTGGTCCTCCCCACCCTACTATATGGCAGCGAGACATGGGTCTCACACACGACGCACATCAAGGCACTTGAAAACTTTCACCAACGTAGTCTACGTTCCATCCTTCCAGTTTGCTGAGAAGACAAGAGAACAAATGACTGTAGTCTTGCTTACACCAACTGTAGGATCATCGAGGCTACCATTATCCCTGAACAACTACGCTGGACTGGCCATGTTACCTGCATGGACGACAGTAGACTGCCAAAGCAGCTACTTCACAGTCACATAACGAATAGTAAACATAACGCTGGCGGGCAACTGAAAAGGTGTAAGGATAGTCTTAAGACAAACCTGAAAAAGTGCCAAATCGACCCCCTCACCTGGGAGACGATTACTCCACACCGGAAAGACGCTGCCGCCGCCCCTCCAACACTAGATGTACCCCACATCTGCAACTTCTATGATCGACCCTGCCGGTCCCGTATCGGCCTCTTTAGTCACCTCAGAACTCGTCAACCTAGGTGATATCCTTAATACATCATAACATTGTATCAAACAGTGCCGGATTAACCATGAGGCACTTGAGGCACTGGCCTCAGGCCCCCCGACTCTAAGGGGCCCCCAAATCCAAACATTCTCGAAGTTGAAGCGTATAAAACATGAACTTCGTTCAACGATGTCCTAGCAAAGTCTCAATTTTCTGTCTCTTATGAACATTAAATGTGCTATTTTGCAGAAGCTTAATATTGATGAAATCATTGATAAATTTGGGTATATTTTGTTCTTGTTTTATATATATATATATATATATATATATATATATATATATATATATATATATATATATATATATATATATATATATATATATTGAGGGTAAGGGGTCCCAAGTTGATCTGTGCCTCAGGCCCCTATTAAGCTTAATCCGGCCCTGGTATCAAAGCTGGATGCACGTCATACTCGATTCTCGGCCGAGTGACATCAAAGTAGTAGTAGTAGTAGTAGTGTGTGTGTGTGTGTGTGTGTGTGTGTGTGTGTTTGTGTGTGTGTGAGACAAGACAATATATTTCCACAGAGGTTCCAACGTGGTAACATCCCATTGTGTCTCCTCCCCATTAGGTTTGGTTACGTTAAGCTAGGTTACGTTACGTTAGGCTAGGGCATCATTAACTGACAGTAAACATTTTGGGAACATATGACATTTTCAGAGTTGACATAATGGGTATAGAAAAGTGGGCAAAAACCATTAAAATTAACTATTCTACTATTTTGGTCGTATCTTGAGCAGCTGAATTAGATATGAAAAACACTAAACAAAACAACTCACATTATTGTTGATGATGGCACCAGTGATCAAGGGAGCCAGGATACCCGTCACTGAACCCAGGGAATTCGTGATGCCCTTTAGTGTTCCCGCTAAGTTAGGTGCGATATCCTGCTCCGAGATTACCGACCCGCTGTTGATGGCTCCCTGGGCACCTAAACCCAAGCTCATGAACACCAAGGCCAGTGTGGAGTCGCACCCCACCAGTGTCATGGCCAAGAGAGCTAATCCGGACCCGTACAAGGCTGGAAGGGCAACTCATTATTAACGATGAAGTGCATTCTCCATGATCAGGGTTGGGTGCACATAAGGTCATGCAATTGGTGTACATAAGGTTATGTAATTGGTGCACATTAGGTAATGCAATTAGTGTATATAAGGTCATGCGATTGGTGTACATAAGGTTATGCAATTGGTGTACATTAGGTAATGCAATTAGTGTACATAAGGTCATGCAATTGGTGTACATAAAGTCGTGCATTTGGTGTACATAAGGTCAAGCAAGCTGTTTTAAACCAGGTCGCTGGAGGACGTTACTACCTAATCTAATTCCTGGTGGCTCCCATGTGACACAAACCAGCCATATCTAATGGTGTTAGGATAGGTCAAGATAGGATGATTCGTGTCGTTTGCTCTTAAGAAATACAGTGGCTCTGTTTGTGGTGATTTATAACAATGAATATTTTACCAGGAAGGATGAGCGCCAAGTAGCTCCTCCTCCTTCACTAGGAAGTCTTCCAGGCTGCTATCTCCTCCGATAACTCTGCACATTACAGTTGTACGGGGGGTAGGAGGGAGACACGGAGGTTTTTATTTGACTTACCAAACCCGGTAGAGACTTTCCTGAGGATGTTGATGGTGACTTTGTTATGGGTGGTGAGGAAGCCCGCCCCGATCCCCCACGCCACTGACACCACCGTCTGGACCAGATAGGGCAGCGCTGCCATCAAACCACTCTGTAGCAGGGAAAAAATAGGTACAATATGCTATCTTTATTATTTCATCTTTATATGGGAAGAAGTTAGTTTCATTTGGCAATTTACTCTGTCTGATTGGTTAGTAAGAAACACCAGTCACCTTTCCTTGTTACAACTAATGTTACATGTGCGAGATCTATGTAAGTAGTGACCAGAAGGATGTGTCTGGGTATCCACGAGTTTAATTACTAACTGCAAAGTAAGTGTCAAACAACACTGCTCAACTGATTAAAAAAAGGAACAATCCACGAAGGCTATGTTTACTTCTGTTAGAATTTCAATCAAACAAATGCCGTAACCTGTAAACAAAGACGGAAGAAGCAAAATATTATTAAACTATAGATCACGACATTCGTGATAGGAAGCTGCACGGCAAATTTAGTTTTAAATATTTTATTTGCTGGACGGAAACAGTTGTAGGTACGGACGGTTAAAGAGGGATAGCAATGTATGTCTCTTCCCTCCATACTACAGTGGGGCGGGGACATAAATAGGAAACCGTATAAAAGTGTGAGATGTCCCTCGTTTACTGTTACTTTTAGGCAGACATCCCTGGACAACACCTAAGTGGAAAGCTCTCATTCTTATGTTTACCAAATCTCATTTTATAAAGAGGTTCCCCCAGCATATTGAGTCGTAAAAAAAGAAAAAAAAAAGAAAAAAATTGTTTCCTATAAAAAGAAACTTCAACAAAAATATGCAAAGTTTTGGAATAAATAGAAGGAAATTTAAGTAGAACCAACGCCTGATTGGGAAAATTCCCTTTTAAATATAATTTTTCCGCCCTATGAACAAATAAATTAATTTCCTCGATTTGTTCAGTGCTTTTAATTTCTTAATTAAATTTATATATGGAGAGTTGGGAGACGATGAACACCATGGTTTGTTTACACTAGATGGGAGACACGAGCCAACCAACCTGAACCTAACCAAGCTACACTAATGATCTTAAGGTTATTGTTTTGGTTACATCACGTACTGTAATTAGGTTAGGACGGATTGTTTCAATTCATCTGCTGCCAGAAATAAACAGTCACCCACGGACCGCCATGCAGCTCAGCTCAAGTAGACTGTTATCTAAATTTCAATGAAGATGAACAATAGCAATGTCCAAGGAATTTAATTTCCGAGAATAAAGCCTAACTTTTTTTAATTGGAAGTATTTTCACCTAATAATTTATCATTCAGGGCTTTCCATACTCCCGAATGCCCCAATTATTGTATACATTAGTTCCTCAACTCCACATAAGAATATAAATCAAAGTACGCAGAAAATAACTGTAAATACTGACGCTGCCCATGTCGAAATGCATCATATTACTGAGGTAGGTGGGAAGCTCAGTGAGGAGTGTGTTGAAACCAAAGGAATAGCCGAAACACGTCACCATCAGAGTCCAGAACGGTACTGAATTCCCCAACGATCTCCAGGGGATGGTGACTGTCTGCGGGATAGAAAAGCAGAGGGGGGTTAAAGAAATACTAGCATAGAAGGGAGGGGAGCAGATCAATGATTTGACGACCAGCTAGCCGTCCGAGTAACTTAATTATTTATACCTTTCTTCCTGTGACAAAGCTTCGGTGAGTGAGGATGTAGGTAAGCTCTTTCTGAGAGATCCTTGGGTGGTACTCAGGTCGGTCGCGGGCTAGAAGGAACCAAGGGATCCCCCAGATCACACCGATAATGCCAGGCAGGTAGAACGCCGACGGCCACCCTCCAAGGAAGTTGGTGCTGCACAGCCAACCACCCACGGCGTTAGCCAGCACCGTACCCACCTGCATACCTGACAGATAAACACACACACACACATCATCTCAAATATCAAAGGATCTGAACTTGAACTATCATTTGTACCAGCTTGTAACGATTCTGTTTGTTATTAAATATCATTGCGAGACATGGTCACATAATCTCTCAGTTCAGTAGATGTGAAAACGTATCGAACTGATTCATAATGGCTCTAAATAATATCGAAATTGAAGTGAGTCTCTTAACATATGTCCTTACATACGGTCTCTCATCTTCGACTACAGTACAGTACAGTACAGTACAGTACAGTATTAGCGCAAGTCAACTAATCTCTCGACTATATAAGTGTGTAACAGTACTCTCTCCTTGCTTGTCCTCTCTTCTTCCTTTCTCCCTCCCCCTTTCTTCCTCTTTGTCTTCTACACCCCTTTTCCTCTGCTAGCTTACCACAGAAGATCATACTGGAGAACTTGGCCTTTTCCTTGGGTGGAATCCAAGCAGACATCATGTAGTGCATGGACGGGAAGGTCACTCCCTGTTGGTGTAGATCATACAGGTCACGGAACAATCAGTTCACGCATCATATATATCATGCTGGGAGTTACCCATTCATAAGTCAGGTTAGTAAAACATACTCACGAGAGGTAAATCATACCTATCATACACAAATACCTTCCTTTATATAGTTCTTGGTCAACTGACAATGTTAGAGTGATGTAGTTAACATCACCCAGATGTTGATGGCAATATCATCATCACCATGTTATTACTCTTTGCATTGGTTACCAACTGATATACAGTACCATCAAATACAAGATGAACGTGCACACTTTTTTCTGGTATAATTACTCCTGTAGGATGTATTAAGAAGATAGGACACGTTGCGGAGACAATGGAATGATAATAACTACCAACAACTACTCCGAAGACTATCAGACTTTAAATTTAACTAACCCTGAGAATTCATGTTTTCGTCACACACAACAGATTCGAACAAATCTCTCATAAGACAGGTCACTTGTGTTACACATGTCATGCATGAGTCACACAGGTGGTCATGTATCTATTTCTGTAGGTCATGAGTCACAGGTCATAGATCACAACAATCATGGATTACACAGGTCACACATCGAAGAAAAGATCAGGCCCTCCATTACCTGTGATTCTCACCTGTATGAGTCCTTCCATTACCCTGAGGGCGACGAAGAGGCTGGAGGACACTGAGGCACACAACGGGGAGAGTAGTGTCAGGACGGACGGACCCACCACGCCCGTTCCGAACATGAGGCGCGGACCCAGGTACTCAACCATGCGGCCCCCGAAAAAATTGGAGGGGATATACCCGTAAAAGAAGGCCCCCAGGATGAGCCCCTGAGTCTGTTCGTTCCAATCGAATTCTCCTTCCTGTGGTGGTGGTGAGAGTGGTGCTGGGTCAATCATACTGGAGGACACGAGGGGTACTACAACAGCTTATAATAATAAGTGACATTTAGTTAATTTCGACTAGGGTAGCTGACAAAACCACGAGATGCTTATTTCCAGTAGGGTCCTAACGCCAACAGCATCTAGTGTACTCACCCCAAAAAAGTATCTTTGGGACTCTGTGTGAGACAATATGATACAATGGACGAAATATTTTGACAACCCTTCTAAGACAACAGGAGTCGCTGTGTTCATTTTGAAATTCATCAGACCCCTCCGTAAAGATACTTTTTGGAGCGAGTCGGGCGGTAATCGATACAAGTACTAACCAGACCCAACGTTACTTAACTTCGCTGATCGGACGAGTAGCGGTCTTTCCAACGTGGTATGGACACAGGGGAAGACAGCTTCTCGTAATGGTGAGACACTACACCAGCTAGGCACACACGTAGTACTACATCAAAAAGGAGACACCCAAGTGAACTCTACCATTTAGGACACATTTAGCTAGGACACACAGCTAGGATGCAAAGCTAAGGACGCATAGATGGGACACACACCAGCTGGAACACACAGGACGGGAAACAGCCCAAGCTTAGTCATACAGATGGAACATTACACCAGCTCACACACACACTTGAGACACTGACCATAACCACATCACTGCTATTGTCGCTGGGGGCGGGGCAGGTATTCGAGAGGTTAGAGGTGGTGTTCGTAGAGCCGACCATGGCCACGATAGCGATGGAGAGGTTGATGCGAGTTATGTACACTATCGTGATCCCCAGGAAACCCAACAACACCACCGTATGTCTCTCCTGCCACCAGCATGACCACCAACATCCTCCTCCTCCTTCTGCAACAACACACATACCAAAAAATCATATTAGTTTCTCTGTTTCTCTCTGGCAGCCCTCTCTGCCGACTTAACCACTTGGTATCTACTAAGTTTTAATCAGAAAGCAAACTAAGAAGAAATTGGCTCGTTACCAACACAAACTAAATAGACTTAACGTTATCTAACCCAACCTAACCTTCCTTAACCTAGACTACCTTAACTTAGCCTAACTTTAACTAAACTAACTTAACATAACCTAAAGTACCTTAATCCAATTTAACCTGACCTAGCCCAACTTACCTCCATCTATCCTAACTGACCCTAAACTGACCGAACCTATATTAGCTTAACTTAACCTAACCTCACTTAACCTAACCCATCTTACCTTAACCTAACTTTACTTTACCTAACCATCTTACCTTAACCTAACTTTACTTTACCTAATCTATAACTTAATCTAACCTAACCTAAACTAAACTGAATTCACCTTATCTCATTTAAACCTAACCAGATTAAACAACCTTAACATGTACAGCATATCCGAAGTGCACTGCAAAGGTAAACGTTTTTATTTACATATTTTTATCTACCATCTAGTGTCGTGTCATCACTGTGAGTGTCCGAACCAGCCTTTATATCCATTCCTTTACATATCTCATAAACATTCATTTCTAAATTTGAGCATAAAATCAGTATGACTGACTGCCTTTCCTCTAACATACAAAAATATTTTAAAGATACTGAAGATGGACGAGTGTAAGATTTTTTTTTAGGTTTAAGGGAAAATGTTATTCTCACTGGTCTCTCGAATCTAATCGCTCGTTATCAAGACAGTTAGGTACATATTGACACGGTGAGCTCATAGAGACACACGTGAAGGGCAGATAATGATCTTTATCCTGAGTGAGAATAACATTGGTGTTGTCCTTGAGGCTGTTAACCCAAAGTTAAGTTCAAAATTTATTCCACTTTTGGCAATATCTAACATCTACTTGTGGGGTCAATTGTGATTGGTTTATCGCTAGTGAATGTTAGTTGTACTTATAAATTATGCCAGAACAACAACATGAGACACTTATAATGCAAGGGGAAATCTTTGTACAGTAGATAGATATTAAAATCCCAATTTTAATTTATCTTGATATTGACTGAAGTGTCGAGGAAATCTTATCCACAACTCAACAAGAAGCAGCTGCAAGTTATCTAGTCTTAATTTACGGATACAGTGGCGCGTACCGCTCATGTCTGAGGATTGGTCTTGTTGACAATTGGTATACGACGTGGAGGAAGCCTCCACTTTGTTGCCTTCATAACTCATTCTCCTCCCATCAGTTGTATCTTCTCTATCTCGTTCCTGGTTGACTTTCTCAAATTGCACTTGTAGATTCCTTGGAATAGTGAGGTCCTCTGCGATGAGGAGGGTGTCTCGTGTGGGTGGTTACTGAGCAAAGTAGCGTGCGAAACATCCAGCTTGCCTTCAGGAACTGTTTCCATTTGCCGGAGCACTGAGGACGTACGAAGTCACATACAGTATTTATACACATGCATAATGACACATACACATTGGTGAAGAATCACATTCTGTACACACACACATACTGTAGTTTGTGTGTGTTGAGTTATAGACAACTTTATTACAGTACATTACTGTAGTTTTATAATTTGCGCATTTAGGAATGGCAACACAACGAGCCACCCTTCCAGCGTCATTACTGAGCAAATAATGCACCCTACATTTCACCAGATTCCCATTTACAGTAAGTGAAATCAGAGACCAGCTGATGCTGAGAGGATAAGGAGGGAGATGAGGACACAGCACCCACCAGTCCGGGTCATCTCACAGTTACTTAACCATACCAGGCCTTGATCCATACATGCTGTGGATACGAGCTTTACTGAGAGCATTGTCTACAACCCATGCACTGCTGTTTTTGCTTCGTGTACAGACCAGGAACGAGAACTAACCTCACCAACAGCACTGAAAGATCGTCACTAGTAGTCAGATCCACCTCCTGTTTTTATCTTGCCACTTGTTATCAAACACTGATTGCTGAATACAAAAATTTGTCGGGGTCAAGTGTGATCGTCTACTAGCCCACCATGGCTGAGAGAAGCCAGAAATGTTTGAACATTGTATCATTTTCCGGGTGACTGCAAAAGACAAACAAGGGCTGTGAATAATGTGATTGTGGTCAAAAATGAAAGCTCCTTGTCTGAACAGTATGAACACGAATGCCATGCTTCCAGGAATTGACTGTGTTTTCGGTAGTCACCCAGAGATGTTATAGATGGTGCGAAGGCATCCATGGTTTCCTGCGAGAAACATGGGAGAGGGTGGAAGAAAACAGAACACAGCACTGTAAATCTCTCGGCCAGTTTGAACAAAACTTTAAATTTCGTCCAGTTGTCAATTTCATATTCGTAATGCATACACAGACAAGCGGGACGGGTGACAGTACATCTAGATTCTAAATGAAAACTTACTGAGGGGCCTTTGAATATTATCTTAGGTTCAGTAGGTCAAGCTTTCTCTCATATTTTAGACTAAAGACAAAATCTGAAAAAAATGCCCAGGGGCAGATCCAGGAATATCAAAAGAGGGGGGTCCAAGAAGTTTTGGGTTGGGGAACATGGCGAGCAAAGCGAGCCCCTAACTGTTTTTTTGGGAGGTGCTGTAAACCCTCACATAATTTTTTTTTTTTTTTTTTTAAATCTGACCAATATCTTGAGCATTTTGAGACCGTTTTGAAGCTATGTGCACCTGACATTGGGAGATATTCTGAGGTCAATAGTAATTACTTTTTACAATAAGAAAAATGCTTAAGTACAATATTACATTAAAGAAGAAGTATTGGAATTTTCTGATGAAAAGGGGGTCCAGACCCCCAGGGAACCCCCCACCCTCCCCGGATCCGCCCTTGAAGCCTCTAGAAAGCACTTTAGGGGTGACGGAGTGTAAGCAACTGTCATCCATGTCAGGCATTTAATATACTGGACACATTTCAGGTGGATGACAGTTAATTTAAGCTCTTATTAGATTTTTAAACCAAAAACTAAATAGCCTCCCAAAAAGTATTTGACAGAGTTCGATAAAATCTGATATCTCTTGAACTAAATAAGCAAACTTCATGAAATTTGGTGTGCATAAGCCTTAGAACATGTAAATAAAGTAGGGAAAGTTGCTGGTTGTCTAGTTGGAATAACAAGATCAGAAGGGGCAAGAGATCAATAGTGTCTTCCCTTCAGTGAACACAGCGGACTAGTTAATGCAACAGGTGATATGTGTGATATATACACAGAAGATGAGGCCTATTTCCAAACAAATATGAAAGAAGGGACTATCAAGAATACAACGTGAAAAGCACGATGTCCAGAAGATTATTGACCATCCTACCAGGTTTTTTTTTTTTTTTTTTTTTTTTTTTTTTTTTTTTTGGGGCACTCCCCTACATCCTTGTGTAAGGTGAAGCGCAGAAGCGTTTACAGTGCCCAACAGGGAAGCATGCTAAGTTCATGCTTGCCTTTATGTCTCATGAGTTAAGGGTATAGAAGCCTGAAGAGTCAAGGGCATAGAAGCCTGAAGAGTCAATGGTTTTATGTCATCAAGTTATTGGAAGCTTCAACAACTTGTCCCTGAATATGAATTCGCAACTTTCGATTTACACCCGGTACCTACTTTACTGCTAGGTGAACAGAGACTAAGGGGGGCTAGGAAGTATGTCCAAACAACTTCCACTGGCCCGGGAATCGAACCCGTGACATCTCGCTTGCGAAGGCAAGAGCGGTACCACTCTACCACCAGCACTCCGTTTGGCATCTTTCGACATGAAAATCCAAGTATTGTTTGCCTGGCCACTTTAGACATTGCTTCACAACATATCATTGAATCTTGTTAACAGTACATACCCGCTGAAAAGAAAAGATGCAACATTTCGTTAATTTGCGCCTCATCAAAATGACTGTTGGATTTCATAAAAAGCTAAAGCAATCAAAGAGCCCAACACTCATAAACATGTACCATATGTACCAAAGCAAAGATCAAACACTGAAAGGAAAAGGTGTGAAAGCAGATAATGCTTTTTTCAACGTTTACTAATTTCAAAAGATGCTGGTCATCATGTTGACCTCAAACAAATCCAATGTCATGAATTGTCACCAGTGCCTCTTTCTCTTGCTGACACATCAAGAGCATTATGACAAACAAATCTGTCAATTCTTGGATAAATTCTTCTGTTTGCTAAAAATTAAAAAAAAAACATCTTCCACTCATAAATCTCAAGCCATTTGTCATCATTGATATAAACGCCTTAGTTTTAAGGACGTTCAGGTTCCGGGCAAGTCGAAGGGAATGATTGAAACCCGTCTTTTGACGCATTCAATATTTATTGATGTGGTCAAAACCTGCAGAGGAGAAGGCGTTCATAATATTACAAGGTGATCCATCTGATACATAATTAGTTAGTCTCACACAATTTTATCTTAATTACAATTTATTAAACATACTGACATAACACAAAGTTCATAACTCTATTAATCTTAGCTTCGCTTCATTCTGCATTGTCTTATTACTCCAGGTTAGGCAGAAACGAGTAGGCGTAATTAGTCAACAATATTTCAGTACCGAGGGGTATGTCATCACTTAGGCTGTACAGTACTTACAAGTGCGGGTCAATGCAGATCAGTATGGTGTTCCAAGAGAAAACAGTATTGCGTAAATCGTCCCAGCACAAATTCTCGGACAGAAGAAGGCTGGTCTTCACAGCATCACTAGAGAGGGCGATCTGTCTCATGGAGGGGAGGGCAGCCCCCGCCACCAGTCTAAGACAGTCCACTCAGCAGAACTAGGACTTGTCTGTAAACACTTCTACATCTGGCGAGGTCACAGGTCGAAAGATTTAATGGCATCACACGCCAGCACTGTAGCTGAAGCCAGCGGCGATAACAATGATGTGTACTCAGAAGAGGATATAAGAAATAAATTGTCAAAGAGTACATCCCAGAGTGCTAAGAGAGTTGTAGCAATGAGCTTGCCGAGTCCCTGAAGATCCCGTTCCGTTAATGCCTGGATAAGCAAAAGGTCCCCAGTGATTGGAAAATGGCTTATGTGAGTCCTTTTTTCAAGAAGGGTGATCGTCACTCCACAAATAATTTTAGAACCGTGAGCCCAGTCTCTATTTCAATTATTCCCATATGTTCTGTTATTTCGTTTACGCGTTTCTCGTTTTAGGCGGACCTCCACGGGTTCAATTGACCGCGTAAATGGAGACTATACTGTATATGCAACAAATTGATACTGTGCAATGTGTTGCAATTACAAGATAATGAGGTAATGTATACTGTATATACAGTAGTGCTTATAGTGGAGGGGAATGAACTGTATTAAGTGTTCCCTTTGTTCTTTTAGCCCTTTCTGTTGTTATCAATGTATACCTGTACAGGTAGTTCTGCTATAACGCGATAATTGTGTTCTTGTAAAATATCGTGTTATAGAAAATCGCGTAATAGAAATAACAGGGCTTATGGAGAAAATAGGGTTAGGTGCAGATTACTCGAAATCGAAAAAATTTAGTAGTTAGCCTAACACAAAGGATAGCACAGTCTAAATAAATGTTACATTCATATCTAATAATGAAATCATACAGTAAATGTAACACTTTACTTGATGGGGGAGAAGGGTGATTTTGAGGTTGATAAAATCGAGCTTCTCTTCAAGTGTTATATCCTTTCTTTTACGATCATCACCGGGAATTCTATCACCAGAACGCTTCTTGTTGATATTCTTCTTTACTATATTCACAGTTAATACAGTGGGGTATGCTATAACGAACGGATCCTACTACGAATATTCCTATAACGAACGGTTTTACCTATAAAATTGAGAATGCTATAACGAACGAAACTCCTACAACGAACATAATTTAAATTTTTTTTTTTCTAATTTATTGTTTTATTATTACAAATATTAATGATATTCTTTATTTCAGGGGTTTAGATGCATATTTATGCACTTTTTTACAATTTTTACAATTTTATATTATATTTTTCAGTGTTAAGTGGTTGTATTTGGGGGCCTGGAACGGATTAATCCTATAACGAACGAATGCTATAACGAACAAGGTTCTAGAACCAATTAGATTCGTTATAGCATACCCCACTGTACCACAAAATTGGAGAAATAGTAAGCAAAAATCGCGTTATAGCAAACAAGCGTTCGCGTTATACAAATATCGTTCCTAATTCATAAATCGCGTTAGAGCAAATTCGCGTTATCAAAACACGCGTTATAGCAGAACTCACTGTACTTCTCTTTCATTATTATTCTCTCTCATTTACTCCTTTTCTTGAATATGTTTTTGGGCTAAACCCACATTATTATTACAGTGTACAGTAGTTATTATTATTATAATTTTATTTTCAATTTTGCATTTTTTATTACAAAATTTATTTACTATGAGTAATTAACATCATTATTATTATTATTATTATTATTATTATTATTATTATTATATATATATATATATATATATATATATATATATATATATATATATATATATATATATATATATATATATATATATATATATATATATATATATATATATATATATATATATATATATATATATATATATATATATAAAAGAGTTCAGACACTATATTTATAAATAACAACAATGTTTAAAATTATAATTGATAATGTGTATTTTAATATAAGAACTAAATAAAATATGTGTAATTAGTACTACAGTTATATAGAATACCTGTAGTGTACCTGTAGTGCAGGTATTTTTATAAATTTTTTAATTTTGTAAGTACATAAGCATGCATTCAAAAACTGAAAAGTATGTGATAATGGATGTAGATTATAAAGAATGCAACATTCTTTACTGTGATATGAATCTTGTACAGTACAGGTATATACAGTATATGTGAAGCCTAAAACACACTATCACTTACCACAGTTTGTAGGAATTTGACTACAGTGGTCCCTCGGTTAACGAGCACAATTCGTTCCAGCAGGTTGCTCGTTAA